ATGTTATTCTATACTAACAAATAAAGTTAAACAAATAAAATAATTTAAATGGACTTTGTAAGTATTTATGGATTTATGCAAGAGTCTGGCATTTAAAGGCTCGATTTGATTGGTTAATTTATATGTGACAATACCGAAACTTTATGATTTGATTGGCTAATTACATTTGACAAAATCGAAAGTATGTGTAATCTGGACGGAATACTGAGTAGATGTTAAATCTGGAATTATCACGTGATATTAATTTTTTCGCTCAATTATTAACTCGCATTTTTTCAGATTGAAAACTTAATCCCAATCACCTCATACACGTATTTGTTAATTGCGCTTTCCCCTCCCAACGTTACCTTATTCAAAATCATTTATAAGATAAATTCTTGACCTACCCAATAAGTTAATATAATTATTTTATTCTGTGAACTCTTCTCTATATACCAAGTTTATGATTTATATTAAAATTTATTATTCATTAGATTATTGGAATAGAGAGATATTCTGATTTTTGGGGTGATGTACAAAAATGGAACGTGTTTTATATAACCAAAGTGCCTGACTGCACACCGCAAAGTTCTCATTCAGCACTTAAAAGCGAGCTTGAAATACTTTTAAATAAGCTACCAATAAATAGTAAAAAATATAAAACTGCAACCTCAATTAATAAAAGTCTCTCAGGTCAGTATTCTTCCTTTCGTATCTGTCAACAAAATGACACTTGCTACGCCCAGGACTGAGGTCTCATAAACAGAATTTCTGCGGTTTTCTGGATGGGAGGAGAGTGTCGTGTCGAGAGTTACGGATTCCGTTCATGACACGCATTTGTCATAATCTTGGTAGAGCTCAACTACACCCTGCAACTGCGGTTGAGTGACTTTGTCATAATAGGGTCTGCGGTTCGCCCGAAAGTGGGGAGTATATATGGTATGGGATCCTAAGATTAAAGATTGCATTTCAATCTCTTATCTTTGGGTCATGCCATATTATACGCAGTTGGGCATTATTATAACCATTTTGTGAATACTTTCTAATTAAAAAAAAACCTTCAATTAAAGAAATTTAAAATGACGTCTATACTTTGGAAATTCACACAAGAACTGGCTAGTTTAAACAGTATCAACGATATAGACAAGGTATGATGGGCATATTTATAATAATTTTTTTGATTTGGATATTCACTAGTTTTCTTTTTATTCTAGGAAAAATCAGTGTTTTTCAATACATACTACTACAAATGCTTGCTTTAGAACATTTTATCTCGCCAAACCTAGAAGATTATGGCCAAAAAAAAATGAGATAAAGTATATATTTATAGATTTATTTACCCAAGTTTAGCCCTTATAGATTTTGCTAATTACTATTTTATTCTATGACAGTTTGATGGTTTAGAAACAAGGAAACATTTTTTAGTAAAAGATGAAGAATTGATATCAATTAAGAGAAGACAAATGGACATGAAATCGCCTAATTTTGTAAGTGAACACTACTTCAAAAAAGATTTACATTGTTGATTATAAATTGATAATTCAACTAACTGTCTTATCTCCTTAATATTCTTAGGATGCAAAGCCAGTAATTAAAAATAAATATGTAAGAGTGGAATTTTGAAGAAGGTACGAGGCCTCCAATAGTTGTATGTGGTTGTTTTCTGTCTAATTTTAAATTAGCAACTAATAAAAATAACAACTATTATGTGCAGGAATCATTGACGAAATTAACATAAGTGAATCATTTTTAGTTTAAAAGAACATGCTATTTCTATGGCGAATGAACATTAACTTACTCAAACCATCCGGTGAAATTCTGTCAGTTTTGCTTGTTTATTTTGATGAAAATGTGTGATATAAGTAGTACTTATTTAAATTTTTGTATAATGTTTAGGGAATTGAATTCCATACTTCTTTTGAAGAGAATTCTATTCGCGCACAATTGAATATACTCGGAGAAAGGTCTTCAAACAAATGAAGGATATGTATCCAAAACAAAATCTACCAAAGTAGTTTCGAATTAATTTAGAAGATTCTATTGAAGATGTTTATGCCGATTTGAAGGAAAATTCAACTGATAAACATTTGCTCAGGACATGCCAGAAAGTTGGGGATATATGTAGGTGTATTTTTGCTTTTTATTTGATTGTATATTTCTCGAATTAAACACCAATTCTGCATTCAAATATATCAAAATTATAGGGTTGAAAATTGGCGTACATCACATCTTTTGATGATCATTAACAATTGAAGATACTTATGATTTTGCGGCCTTTTTTTCCAGATGAGCCAGGAAGAACAGTTAATTAGTAATTTTTCTAATTTTCTACGGATTTTAATCGTCAATTTATTTCATTTGACATTAATGTCTAATATTTTAATTTAACATCTATCTTACTTTTTTTTTGCAACAGGGCTAATAAGATGTCGTTAGCAAGTGCAGCTAGGAAAATAGATTCCGATGGTGAAGGTCATCGACCCGATTTCATGTTCACTATTGATCTTAATGGACATATCAAATTTGAAATCGTGTTTGGTCTTTATTACCCATCAAGCAAATTCACAATGGACTTGGTTGATTTGGGAGTTCTTATGAAAGACTCACTTGATAATATCTATAATAAAGGAGTTGAATTGGAAATGGTCGTCTTTGGAATTCACTCATTTGGTATCTATTGTAAACTTATACTACCTAATTATTTTCCGTTGAATCTTATGATTTATGAAAGCAAATCAATTACAATCAATTTATACTGGCAGGGTATAATATTAGAATTTATGCAATGGATCTGTCGTATGATAGCATATACAGGATATTTTTTGTTGAGAGAATTTGAATTACCAAGGAGCAATATTAGTCTTGGTTTGGTAGAATTCGTTTTATATGAAATTGTAAACTTAAAGGTAAGTTTATTAAGTTCTTTAATACTCCTATCATATCAATTGAAAAATCATCAATTCTATTTCATATATACCAATTGCAGAGATTGATATGAGAATTTATTGAGAAGCTTCCGCTCTATGGATTGACTACTACTAATAGTAATGAGAAAACTCCAATAGGAAAGATGATGATGATTAGGAAAACATTGGCAACTCCAAAAAAAGTATAATTTATTCATTTGTTCTCATTTTGATTGATATTGTAATTTTTAATATTTTTTTCTTTACTTTCGTCACCATATTTAGGTTAATATTAATAATATAAGATAATTTCCATCATACCATGCAATTTTAATTAGGAAGGATATTTAAGGTTCTCTGAATATCTAACTTACTTGTTTCTGAAACAAAAATTTAATTGCTATTAATCAAGCTTTTCGATGTTTTTATTTTTAATTGAAACAATCAAGTTATTATGAATACTTGTGAATTTAGAGATTACAACATTAATTGCCGATCACTTACAAAATCATTTTTGTATACACAAAAATCATATGACCTAATGCAAAAAGGTCGAAGAATACGAATGTTATCATTAGTTATATTTTTTAACAAATTTACAATGTACGAACGCTGGATTCCTAGAATTATGCAATTTTGAAAATTTACAATTAGCAATTTACATAATAAAAGTAATGTAAATTGAAGGTTTAGGCAACTTTTGCTATCTCAAGAAGTGCGATACCACGGTTTTTTGTTAACATTGTGATTATACTTTTCTTCTGGATTTCAGGATTTTGTGGTAAGTTTCTTTGGAGATTGCGATTTTTTTTATTCTTATTATTTATTTATTTTTTTATCTTTAGCTTTTTAGAACGGTTCATCCTCTCACGGATTGGAGGGGGATTATTTTTTTGTTCTCCTTGGATTTCACAGTAATTTTTTTGTAGGATTCAAAAGTGTAATGAAATTTTCGATCCACAAATTAATTTTGTGGCACTACAAATAAAAAAAAATATGAATCTAACCATAAAATACATAACATACCTTTTGATATTGGATCAATATCCATATCTTCAAAATTTTTCATCTTCAACCTGTTTACTATCTTTTTACAAAGTAATCTGACAAAACAAAACATTGAAATAATTTTCATCTTACTAACTTCAGAAATAACTTGATCTCATAGAGCATTTTCTAAAAAGCATGGTCTTTATTAATACAAAATAAACACAACAAATTTATTGAACAAATACCTTCTTCTCTTGATGTCATATAGTTCATGATTTTGAAGATAATGTATGTGTTGTATAGCTTGGGATTGGTGACACGTTTACCATCTAACATGTATTTTCACATAGTATAAATGGCACGTCATGGTATTGACGTGTATTTTTACTTTAGTTTTGCATATTGGTAGTAATTCAGATAGCTGTAGGCATACTTAGTTTTTATAACTAACTAGTTTGCTACCAAATCATCTATCTACTCAAACTTTTTTTAGGTTTCAAAATCGTGTTGATTCTGAATTTGAGAAAATATTGGAGAAAATTGATAATCTTCC